GTGTGTGTTTGGAAAGGGCTGTGCCCATCGAAGCCCCTCTCCCTGCAAGGACCCTTGGTGTGATCTTTGCCGAGTAATTCCTTCCCAGTAGGATGCAGCTGAGGCTCAGCAGAGATTTGGAACAGCTTTTCTACACGACCAGCAAGCTGTGTATGAGAAATGATCTTGCAAACACACCTCAGGCAAAGCCCCCCCAGCTCCATCCTTGACCTGTCAGAGCTGCAGACAGCCCCACACCCCCTGGATGAAGCAGCTGGGGTTTGACCACAGCCTTTTTGGGGGGGTCTTGGCAGATTTATCACTTTGCACTGCCAGGAACGAGCGACGACTTCATGGACGCTCCCAAGGAGCACAGCCCTCACCCGCATCAGGTGCCAAAAACATCTTTATTAGCAAAGTGTACACTAAAACTCCAGAGGAAGAGATGCTCACAGTTTGACTACTCTGGAAGGGAGCTCGATACATGACTTGAGCTGGCGGCCTAGGACTGTCACAGCATCTACCCGAGCGGCGAAGGCGGCGGCGCTACGTGGGCTTCTCCTACGGGAATGCTGCCAGGAGAGGGGCTGGCCGGGAGGAAGCACCTATCAAACCTTTATCAAAAGAGAGAAGCTGGCGGGGAGGGCTGGACAGGAGGCATCCGGGGCTTTTCAGCTCTCTGGGATTGTGCTTTTGAGTTTTGTGCTTTACGCCCAGGCCGGTGACCGGTTGGATTTGTGTGGGGAGGTGTGGGAGGTGTTGGGGGGGTTTGTGAGGCATGATTGGCCTCGCTGGAGGAGTCAGTGCCCTGTGGGACTCGTGCTGAAGCATTGCAGTGGCAGGGGCTGTCGGCCCTTAGTTTCTCAGTGGCAGTCAAGTAGGACAAGCTTCTGCCCTCTGTCCTTGCCCTTGGCTTCCCTCCTGCAGCTCCCCACGGACCACACCGTGGAGATCTCCCCCTCCTCCTGTGCTGACCACCCTTTCTGCAGCACCCGCGGGCCCTGCTGGGCTTAGCCTGGTACCAACCCACGGTCCCTGCTCCAGAGAGCTCCCAGCACAGCTGAGAGCCGTGGATTTGCCCTCCTGTGGTCGTTGTGGTCGCTTGGCTTGTGCCATTCTTGAGAGGAAGCCTTGGCAAGGACGAGGCAGTGGGTACCTTTTGGCCTAACCAGCTCCTTGGTGGCTGAAAGAGCTGTTCTGGGTTCACTATAATGTGCAAATGAAACCTACTCTATTGGGAACCGCTGGAAAACGTCGACCTTGGAATCCAGCCACGCTACGCTTCCTTTCACGGTGGCAGAAGACAGCTACAAATTATACCCCTGAGCCAATGGCATTGTCCAATGTGTTACCCTTGCAGTCAAAATCGACATCAACTGACCCAGCCTGCAGTTGAGGTTCCTCCTGACTCGCCTTGCAGTCTCTAACTTCCAGGAAGCACTGGGTCGGAGAGGTGTCTCTGAATGTCCTGGTGCTCAGGAGGTGCCTCCAAGTGCTCGGGGAGGGAAGGGAAGCGAGAGCCCCGCAAGAGTCCCTGGGTGCTTGGTGCCCTTTGGTGGGGGGGCTCTGGGCTGGGGAGAGGCGGGGAGTGCTGCTCCTGCTCCGAGTGGACTGTCATGGTTTTGTCGGATGACCCGGAGAGGTGCATCCCGCTTGACAAGGAGTCCCTGGATTTCAAGTGGAACTTTTCTACCTCCGTGTAGCTCGGGCTCTGGTGGGAAAGGAGGAATCCAGTGGGTTATGGTAGAAGCAAAACAAAGCAGCCATGCTCCCTCCTCCTCATCAGCCTTGGAGCCTCACCAGGCTCCGAGCCCCAAAATGTCATTTTTCGCTTGAGCCTCAGATTAGAGGAACCCCCTCCCCTCCCTGCTGGTGAGGTAGCCTGGCAGTGCTGGGGGTGGCAGCTGTGCCCCAAAATCAGCCTCGCACTGGGAAAATCTACTCCCATGTCAAGGCCATTGGGCTTTGCCTGGGCCCACGAGCTTTTGGCTGCGCTTTGCCTGGCGGGAGATCAGATCTGGCTGCCCAGGGCAGAAGGATGCAGAGCCAGGGGCTGAGCCAGGAGGGGTGACCTTACCTGCTCCTGGGTCGCCGTCTCCTCGTCCTCCAGAGGTGCACAGGGGGCGAGGGGCTCCAGGCTCCGCGGGAGGATCCCGTACATGGCCAGGTTTTGGGAGGACGGCGAGATGGGGCTGTACGCGGGTGGCACTTGGGACAGCTGGCGCTGCAGGAGCTGCAGGATTATACTGATGTCTGATGACATCCTGGACTCCAGCCTGGGGACAGAGCAGCCCAGTGTTAGTGCAGTGCATCCCCCTGCACCCCTCGGCTGGGCAGGGGAGGCACTGGGGAGGAGGTGCCTGTTCCTCTGCCTGAGGGGGATGATGCTTTGCCTGCTGCTCGCTGAGGTTTTTAGAGAGCTTCAAACCAGAGAGATCAATCCTGCCATCTCTCTCCTGCCATTCTCAATCATCCTCTGCCCAATTTTATGTGGAGCCAAAGTGGGATCTGGAGTGGGGATTTGAAAAAAGCTAAAACTACCCTGGAGGGGGGAAAAAATTGCAATGGTTAGTTTTAATCTGGATCAATTCTCCAGGCCAGAAGCTTGTGCTGACAGATGGAGCAAGGCAGGTTGGTGCCAACCACTTTTAACTGAGTAATAGAAGGAAATGGAAAAGCAAGAATGTTTTCCCTCTGCCTTGGCCCTGACTGAAGTGAGAAGCTCTGGCAGGAGCGGGCACAGCCCCCCTTGCAGGGCACAGTTATGGTGTCACTTACAGAGGGGTAGATCTGTCCCCCAGTGCTGGGCTGGAGCATTGGCGAGACACCCAAAACATGGGTGTGTGGTGAAGTGAGCTCAACAAGGGCAGCAGAGCCCACAGAGCTCATGTGAGTTCTGCCTGGGGACCTTAAACCTGCACCTCCAGTGTGGGCTCTTCCCTCTTGTTCAAAAATCACAGAACAGTAGGGGTTGGAAGGGACCTTAAAGATCACCCAGTTCCATCCCCTGCCATGGGCAGGGACACCTTCCACTAGCCCAGGTTGCTCCAAGCCCCGTCCAACCTGGCCCTGGACACTTCCAGGGGTCCAGGGGCAGCCACAGCTTCTCTGGGCAACCTGTGCCAGGGCCTCCCCACCCTCACAGTCAGGAATTTTTCCCTAATATCTAATCTAAACCTACTCTCTGTTAGTTTGAAAAAATCATGTGTTTTTTATTATTTAGAGAGCAACAGTGTGCATGAGGCTTGTTTGCTCGAGCAAGAGGATGCTTGTAGCTCTTTGCAGCAGGAAGAGGAGGCCTGCAGAGGGCTCAGGCCGTGCCCTGTGGGTGGTTTTGTGTCCACAATTGCATTGAGTTTGGAAGCAGTGGCAAAGCGACAGATCCCGGGGGTGGTGACACTGTGGCAGATCCCAGGGGTGGTGACAGGTCCCAGGGGTGGTGGCACAGGGGCAGACAAGGGGCTGGGCTGCAGCCAGGGCCAGGACTTTGCCCTTTGAGAAGCTGCTGCATTTGCAAAGCGCTCCCACCACCTCCTCGGGAATGCGGTGTCCCGGGGGTCAGGAGGTGGCATTGCTGCCACAGAGCCCACCGTGGCCACTTATAGAAAGCAGAAGGTGATGGCCCAGAGTCTCCCTGGGTCCTCTCTGACCCTGTTCCCCGTGGACCTGCCCACCTGCTGAGCTGGGCCTGCAGGAGCTCCAGCCTGGACTCGATCTGCCCCGGTCTGCAGTCGCCGGGCAGGGGCACGTCCCGCGAGCTCTGCACCAGGGAGATGTGCTGCAGGGCCTCCGGGGCAGGGTTGGGCCGCCGGTCCTCCCAGAAGGTGAACATGTTGGGGATGTCCAGGGGGGTGGCTGGAAGGAGAGGAGACACCTCAGCACCTCTGTCTTACATCCTCCAGCCCCGCTGGCATGGAGGTGCTCCAGAGTCCATCACCCTGACACACGTGGGGAGCCATCTCTGGGACATACATGGAGAGCCTTCATGTGACACACATGGAGAGCCATCACCTGACACACATGG